CACACAAAAAAAAAAAAAAAAAAACCCAAAGAAAAGAAAAAAAGAAAAAGAGAAGGTGGCAGTGTATATTTCCATGTCCTGGCTGAAGATTCACCCCGATTTCGCTCATCTTACACACACACACACACACAGACCGACATTGCCACACTTCACCTCCTGATGATTTGGTGACAGTCCAACGAAACAGTCTGGCACAGTCATGCTTTTATTTTAGCGTATAGCGAATATGACAACATACACAGAGACCTACATTGCCACGCTTGACCAAATGAGCAAAATGGGATTGAATCTTCCCCTAGAACATGGAAGTATCCACTACCACAACATGGAAATATACACTGCCAAAGAACGAAAATGTGGCAGTGTATATTTCCATGTTCTAGGACAGATTCATTCCCATTTTGCTCATTCTATGGATGGAAATCTCTCTCTCTCTCTCTCTCTCTGTCTCTCTCTCTCTCTCTCTCTCTCTCAGAGTTCCTTAGTCCATACTCACGCCGGGATTTCTTTTCAATATATCTGTCCGCAGTTACGAGCATACTGACCTCTGGGACCTTTTGGGACATACTCACACTGGGACTTTGGGCAACTTAGGGCACGCTCACACTCTGAATATCCTTACGATATACTGACACTGAGACCCTCTGGGACATACACTGCGCCCCGCCTGCCGTGGCATTGTTGCGGTGCACCTGTGACATGTATGCACAAAAGGCAAGGGTTGTTGCTGTATATTTCCATGTTCTGGTGTCAGATTAGTTCTCTTTTTTCTTTCTTTTTTTCTCTTTTTCTTTTGCCTTTTTTTTTTTTGGTGGGGACGCCTCCGGGATCCACTTGTTCTTAACAAATGAACAACAATGACACCGCCTGGGGCATGGTCCCACTAGCAAGGGAATAGGATAGAAAAGAGTTTGTGTGGCAGTTGAGTTACGCAAATCCTGCCGTGAAGTACTTGTGATCCCATGGTCAGTATTTTACATGTATTACCAGAAAAAGTAAGGAGATCTTTGTTCCCCGCCTCCTCTCTGTAAGGAAGCTTCCCGCCAAAATCTTTTCAATCCGTTGGGGGTATGGCCAATCCCAAAAGAGGGTGGGATCGGTCATAGGCCCACTGGATAGAAGATTTTCAG